CAATTAATGACAGAAATATTGTGAAACAGTTAAAACATATTCTATGCTTACTATGTGCCGTACATGGTTCTAAGAATAATTTTAGATATTGTAACTCATTTAATACTAAAAAAAAAAAAATTGAGGTGAGCACAGGAAGGAAATGAAGGAAGGAGTGCAGGAGGGAAGAAGGATGGAAAAAGGAATGACAGGGAAATGGAAAAGGGGAAGGGGAAGGAAAAGGGGAAAGGAGGAAGAGGAAGGAGATGGAAGGGAAAGGAAGGAAGGAAGGAAGGAAGGAAGGAAGGAAGGAAGGAAGGAAGGAAGGAAGGATGGATTTTTAAAGTCATCCCATATAAATACTACAGCCAAGATTGCAACTCTTATCTGTATTTAGAATCGGTTTTCTAAGCAATGTGCTACTTTCTTTGCCCAGAAAGTCTTCTGCTAGCTCTTCCCTTCAGCAGAAGAGCTCACTACAGTTCAGCTACCCACTGCAGCTGATTGTGCTACAGTCTGATTTATTTGATATCCGAAGCCATGTTTCTCTTCAATAAGGTACGAAAGTCCAGGTTCTTATGACCAAAAGAGGTAAAGGAGGCAGTGGCATGACCAATGGAGATGGCCCTTGGTAGAAAAAGAGAAGAGAGGTGACTGGCAGGGGTGGGCTGGGGTGGAGGCAGGCGCAGTGAAGGGAAGGAAGGAGAAAAGCCACACTTGGGAAGTCTTTAAACTACTCAACTAAGTTCTGGAATGGAGGCAGATTTTTTTTTTTAAATCAGCCCAGGGAAGCCTAAGACCAAGCAATATTAAAAGCCATAAAGAAAAGACCAAGGCCAGACCCCAGTCCAAATTAACCTCATCAGCGGAACCCATCTGGCTACATTTTTTTTCTGCCAAGGAACCCCCAACTTCTCATCAAGGCTGTTGATTTTCAGAACGGGAGTGGGGAACAGAAGGACAGAGGGTCATTTCTGGATACTTTTGAGTGGGATGGTCTGACAGACACGGCCACTAGGCCGGTAGAAGTCTGAGTTGGAAGCTCAAGGAAGAGGTGTGACCGAATCTACTGCCTCCTGGCCCTCCAACCCTAGCTCGAGACAAAATGCCCTGTGGCCTTTCTCGGAGCTGGGCATATTCCTTCAGGGAAACAATAGACTTTTTCTTCAGTTTGGGTGGCTAATTTCAAAGGCTCGAAAGTCAACTTTTCTCAAAGACCTTGGCTGATTTTAATGAATAGGCAGGCACCTGGGTGCTGGCACTGACTCCACAGAAGCATGTGGGGATGGCAGCGGGCAGCCAGGGGGACCAGCCGTGCCTCTGAAACTAACGCTGGACAGTCACTGCATTTGGGGCCTTTTACCTGGGGAGGAACGAAAACATGCTCTCTCCTGTCAGTTCTCCAGAGCTTGCCAGAAAGAAAAGGTAACAGAAACTTGGCCCGGCCTTCGCCCAAGGCGGCTCTATTCCTGAGAGGATACAAATCCCCTGCTAATTCCTCCCACGGTTCCCAAGGTGGCCAGGTGCAAAACCTATTGTTACAGTTTCCTTTTCCAAATGCTATTCAATACCCAGATTTCAACATACTTCAGTATCCAACTCCTGATCTGTCATAGGCAAAAGAGAGAACCCAGGGAAGTCCTGGCTCCTATACTTAGAAACTGCCAGAGAGGAAAAATGAAATTGGAAATCTGACACCCTCTTAACTTTGTGCCAGGTATGTGCAGTGATTAGGGATGGTGCCGGTAAGATAGCTCAGAGGGCTGGGTTCAAGAGGCCAGAGCGATAGTGTAGCAGGAGAGGTTGCTTGCCTTGTACACACCCCACTCAGGCTCAATCCCCAGCACCCCATATGATCCGCCAAGCCTCACCAGGAGCGATCCCTGAGCACTGAGTCAGGAGTAAGCTCTGAGCACTGCTGGGTGTGCCCCCCCTCAAAGGCATATGGGAGGGTCAGGGTTTGAGCCCAGTGTCATGTGCTCCCCAAGTACTATTGGAAGCACCAAGAGCACAAAGCCAGAAGTAGCCTCCAGGCACCGCTGAGTATGGGCCTCAAAATAAACAAAACTAATCTAAGTGGATTCTAAGAAACTAAAATATAACTGGGGTTATTTTCTAACAAGTATAGTTGCTGCTATGTAAACTTAAGGCAAAAGTCTCATCTAGCAGGCACTGATGGTTGCCTAATATATCTACTATTTTAATAATAACTTGTATTTTAATTTACTTTTTTAATTTAATGACTTGTCACCTAATATAGCTATTAAGTGACGAAGTCCTATGCTTCATGGTGGTCTTTTTCTCTGTTGACCATTGTCATCACCCTTGGTGAGAAATTAGAGAGGGCTGGTGAAAGTCTAGGAAAAAAGACAAGGAATCACAAGTCATGAATCTGAGGAGGAAAAATACTTTAAAAGACTGTATTTGATCTGAATGTGAAAATAATGCAGCAACCCACAGGTAGGAACACTGCCTCTCCTTAACAGACTTACTTGGGGCCAGGTAATTAAAGTGCTAGCCTCACATGTGTGGCTGACCCAGGTTTGATCCCCAGCACCACAGATGATTCCCTAAACCCCACCAGGAAGAAGCCCTAAGCACAACTGGGTGTGGCCAACCCGGTTCTCGCTCCCAAGCAAACCTTAATAGACTTACTAAACTATATTCCTGCAAGTTACAATTAGAAATTGGACTGTATTCATCACTGTCACTGTCCTCCTGTTGTTTGTCGATTTGCTCAAGCAGGCCCAGTAACGTCTCCATTGTGACAATTGTTACTGTGTTTGGCATATCGAACACGTCACGGGTAGCTTGCTAGGCTTTGCCATGCGGGCGAGATATTCTCGGTAGCTTGCCGGGCTCTCCGAGAGGGGCGGAGGAATCAAACTCGGGTCGGCCACGTTGGCCACTTGCAAAGCAAACACCTAACCCATTGTGCTATCGCTCCAGCCCAGACTGTATTCATGAAAATGTTAAATGTATCAGTGGAACTCTAAGCAATGTCAGAGATGGAAATAATACAACACAGCACTTAAGTATATTAATCTCAGGTGGATTGGGAAGAAACTGTCAGTGAAAGGTTGAGCAGAGTGACTAAAGAACCATCAATAATAAAGCTGGATGTGCTGTGTAAATGATATTATCTTTAAAATAAAATGATGGTAATCTACAATTGTTATAATAAAACCTCTCCTTTGCCTGCGGTATCACTTAGCTTCATAAAATGTAACTGCCTCCTAGAAATAGTCTACCTCTTCTATCAAAAAAAAAAAAAACAGAACGAGAAATACCTTCAAAGAAACTGTCTAGACACATGTGACTTCTATTAAAATGTGCGGCTACAGAAAGACAACAAAAATGTTAGCAAATCACCTCTTAGTGGCACACACACTGGATTGACTCTCAATAGAATTTAAAACATTAGATTCCTTGCCAAAATCTCTGCAACTAAATCTTAATGTTTCTCTCATAGTTTAGGAACCATTGCCCATCCACAGCAATGCACATAATATGTGGGTGGAGGATTTCTTTTATGCATATGGTAGAGTCATTTCCATTATTCCTTTTGAGAGCGTCATCCATTAATGTATTCATTAGTATTCTGCCCTTACTCCGAGATCAGTTGATCACATATATATTGAATTTTCTCATGCTTACAATTTTTATCTAGAATCTAGAATTTAATTTCACCTAAAATTTATTTTGTTGTATGACCTAGAAAATTTTATTTTTCCTCCAATAAGCTATCACTGCAAAAAAATTAAAAAATAAATAAAATAAAATAAAATAAAATGATGGGAGAAGGGAAGAAAAGGTTTGTTTTGTTTCTGAAGTGAAAGTTCATTGTGAGTCAGTACACACAGATGTATGCAAAGTATGAGGGAATATACTAAGAAGTTCTAACCAACCTCTCCAACCTTTTCCTCCCCACCCCTTATCCCCCACCCCCCCCACCCCAATCCCCATCCATCTCCTCGATGTTATCTGGACCAACTGTCCTTTTCGTGAATCTTTCTGCCTCTTAATGTCCATCCAGGGCTAGCTCAAGTTTCATGACCTCTACTAAGCCCTTTCTGAGCATCATCTCCTTCCTCCACCTTCTTACTGTCAATGTCACTCGTTCATTGAAAAATATCCCAACATTTACTCCATGGCTTGGAAGCCAGCTGTAGAAGGGAGCACCAAATGGGGGGTATTGGGAGGATCCCCCCAGGATGGGAGAAGCATGCTGAAAGTAGACTCTAGACAGAACATGATTGCCACTCGAGGCCTCTTTTGCAGGCCACAGCACACAAAAGGAGAGAGAGAACAAAAGGGAATGCCCTGCAACAGAGCCAGGGTGGGATGTGGGGGATGAGGGGGGTGGGAGGGATACTGGGAGTAGTGGAGGTGGAGAATGGGCACTGGTGGAGGGATGGGCACTCGATCATTGTACAACGGAAACCCAAGCACAAAAATTTTTAAGTCTACAACTGTACCTCATGGTGCTTCACTAATTAAAAAAAAAAATCCCAACAACAGAGAAAAGAAAATTCCATCGAACATTCCATGGCCACCTTTAACTTTCTGGTAGGGGCCTTCTTAAGCTTTTGCTAGCATCTGAGAAGTTCTACAAGGCAGGAATTGTATCTTCCTCTATCTTTAAAACCTTACTAGCACCAGGCTTTACCCAGCGTGTAGTCCAATGAACATCACTGATATAAATAAGCAGTATCTTAGTTCGAAGAGGGAGACTTCATTAATTACAAGAATACCCCGAGAAGAACATCTGCAAGATTTGAAAAGAAAAATCAGCAAGAGCTGTCCTTTCACTCATGACAGTAATACAGTAGAAAGACAAATAGGCTAACGTGTGAAAAGCAGTGTTTGGGTGGGGGTGGGGAGAGCGTCTGTAAGCCAGGTAAGCAAAGCTGAGAAGGAAGATCATGCATGGGTGTTGGAGAGGAAGGTTCTCCTGAGGAAAACGTAAGAGGCACAGAGAAACCAGCCCTGAGCCCAAGCAGTCACACGCAAACACATACCAGTATTCCCTTGAGCATCTTCCACCTTATTTGGTGAGGGCAACAGGAAGGAGCGCCGTGCGAAGGGCGGGCCTTGGAGGGACGGCTGTAGCTGCTGCGGCATGGCTTGGAGGAGGACCCTCCAGTCCCTCTGGGTGATATCTGACCTCGACCGGGCATGCCCTGGCTTGAAAGTCGAAGTCTCGTCCAGCAAGTCGTTCACAGAACGAGGCCTGTCTCTCCGACGCTGGCAAATGTTGAAAAAGTTAAAGGTGGATGCCTCCTTCTGCTCCATCCAGGAGAGGTTATCTGGGGCTGTCCCTTTCTGGACCAAAAACTGTTCTTTGGCGGGGAAGACATTTGGAGCTTTGGTTTCTAAGTGCCGACTCTTACACGGGTCCCAGATCAGGCCTCCCTTGCCCAGGGAGACATTTCTCATAGCACCATTGTCTGTGAGGTTGCTGAGGGCCTCGCGCCCCACCAGCTCGGGGACTTCCTGGATCCCATAAACCTCTGCTTGTTGCACAACGTTTTCGAGCTTACTCTCAAAGCTATTAAAGAAATCCTCAGTCACTTCCAAGGCTGGGCTGATATCGTCCACTTCCAAAGCCTCCATGTCACAGGCTCCAAGAGGCTGTTAAGCCTCCACAGTGGGCTCAGGAAAGGGCTTCATGAACATTCACCCAAAAAAAGAGAGATGCTTCCACAACGGAGTTCTGGAAATGGCGAGAAGAATCCTTCATCCAGCTGCTGGAAGCAGGCCAAGCATAAGGGCGGCTGAAATTTTCCAGGTAATGAAAATTATTTGACGGGTGCCACTGGTCAGACACAAGAATATGAGGAGACAAGGGTTCCTTTGAGGTTATTCTTTAGTGAGAACTGTCTGAAGACAACAGGAAGGTACTTGTCAAAGCTATACCACGGCAATCTTGAATTTCCTGGAAGAAAATAAACAGAACAACATTGGCCCCATGGTTCATTGTATTCCATAGCACTTAAATCTACCCAATTACTTCCCCATCTTTACACCCTACCTGCCCAAAGGTGGACGACGTTGGCACAGAAGTTCCATTGTCAAGAGTACACATCACACTACCTCTTTGTCGTGGGACTTACAAGAGCAGGGTGGAACACTTGATAAGGAGAATTAAGGTCAACAGCTTTTACCCACACAGAGAAGCCTTTGAAAGCAGTGGTGAAAAGGCTGCCCTAGTAAATCTCTGTGATATACTGACCTAAAATAGTAAGCACAAGAGACTAGCAATTCTGTGACTGAGCCCTCCGTTGTAATCAGCCTGAAAGTCATGAGTCCTTTCAGCACCCTTGAAAGCTCTGGTGATCTGTTGGTCTTAAAGGCACAAAGGGGGAAGTTGCGATGAAGCTCTGTGGTTTCAGTAAACCAAAAGTTACTGTACTTGTACTTCCTAGGCTTAGTTTATGTGAAGCCTCATGATGACTCTAGACTTAAAGATTTCCTGGGGGAAGACTCCAAACTCCAAGTTTCAAGGACTGGCACACATGTACAGGTCTGTTCTGACAAAATCCTTCCGAAGCACCAATGGCTCTCTCTAGAAAACGCTCTTTTAGCTGGATCTCTACAAGGCGTGGCCAAAAGAGAGCAAACTTTGACAGTGATGCTGTCCATTGTAATGGAAACTAATCATCCATAGATAATTAAATTTACATCTTATTAAAATTTTTAATTAAGTTTAAAATGTTTAAATTGGGGCCAGAGGGATAATACAACTGGCCTTATAGGTGGCCAACCCAGGTTCGATTCCCTTACCCTATATGGTCAGGAGCAATCCCTGAGCATAGAACCAGGAGTGATATCTGAGTACCACTAACAGCACTGTAAACCACCCCCCCCCCACACACACACACACAAAAATCAAATCAAACTCCTAAATCTAGACAAATTCAGGAGCTCACCAGGTACACAATTCTGCATCTTATCAACAAAGAAACAAATATCAGGCAAGGGCTTCCTTTACCCTGCAATAGGCAGATTAAGTAGAAAGATGGCAACACCTTTGCATGTTGCAGCAAAGGTACATAAATGGGCTTTAAAAACTGCACAATTCTTGCTGTTAATTAGAATTACTTTTAGCTCTTAGGTCATTAATCCAATGTATTTAAATCAACAGCACCAATCTACATTGTTGAGGGTCACTGTCACGGTCACTGTTCTCCCGTTGTTCATCGATTTGTTCCAGCGGGCCCAGTAACATCTCCATTGAGAGACTTGTTGTTACTGTGTTTGGCATACTGAATACGTCATGAGTAGCTTGCCAGGCTTTGCCGTGCAGGCGAGATACTCTCGGTAGCTTGCTGGGCTCTCCAAGATGGGTGGAGGAATCAAACCCGGGCCGGTCAGGCCAGCCACATGCAAGGCAAATGCCCTACCGCTGTGCTATCGCTCCAGCCCTATTGTTGAAGGTAAGTAAATAAATTGTATATACAGCCCTCACCGGGGCCCCTTGGAGGAGGGTGGGTTGAGTTTCCCACTCCACCCCGAGCAGAGCCCCGGCAGCCGAAGACCTCCGGTTCCAGCCACAGCCATGCTTAAGCCCACTCTCTACACGTTTGGACGAGCCTCACGCATGAAGGAACCGGCAGAGGAACCCAGGTGTGCGGGACCCGGGGCATAGATCTCCAAGCCTGCTCGGATTGGGACTGGGACCTCCTCTACCCAGATCCCCCACCTTCCAGTATGTAGGCGTTACACCCACCAACTGCCCCTGGCGCCGTGTAATCCCATCAACGGCCAAGACCCAGAGACTATAAAACCCTGCTCCCGGAAGCGCACAGCAGTGTGGCCGCGTGACATCTTATCTAATTCTTACTCTGGAGAACCTGGCAGGCTACCAAAAGTATCCTGCCCACACAGCAGAGTCTGGCAAACTCCCCGTGGCGTACTCAATATGCCAAAACCAGTAAGAATTGTGGGTCTCATTCTCCTGACCCTGAAAGAGCCTCAAATGTGGCACTTTGTAAAGTCTCAGGGCTAGAACGAAGGAGATGTTACTGGGGCCTGCTCGAGGTAATCGATGAACAACAAGAAGACAGTGATACAGTGATACACCCCTTTATTGTCAACATACTGAGGAGGATGGTAGGTCATAGGAAATCCTGTTCTTAATCTCTTGAAAACATAATAAGTAGGGATTTGTCTGCTGTTTTAAATTTTTCTGCTAGTACTCAGACTTTGTTGCTGCTGTTCCTGATTTTTATTTTCATTTTCTGCTGACGCCAGGGACTAAACCCAGCTCCTCTACATGCAAGGCATGTGCTCTGCCACTGAGCCATATCCCCAACCCCAAAGTTGGACTGGTTTTTTTTTGTTTTTGTTTTTGTTTTTGAGAAACAATAACATCAGCTAATCAACTTTTTTAGCCCAATCAAGTTTTGGGATTTTCCTTTCTTTCCTCTGTGCCTATGGTTAAGTCATGAGCCTCGTCAATTGTGTAACTTTCAATCTTGGGATTTTCCCATTTCATTCTGTTCATCAGAGACTAAGAAAAAAGAAATGCATAATAAATCTTAAAACTTTTTATTCTTTACTGAAAATGCAAAAAGTGGGCGTGAAAGATAGCTCAAAGAGCTGGCTGAAGTCCTGGGGCATGTGGCCACCTGGAGTGACCCACCCTCTCCACCCCTGTTACCAAATGCTGAAGTAAGAGTGGCCCCTGGACTTCACCAGGTATGGGCCAAAAAACATGCAAATAAAAACATCTTTAAAAATATAATAAACAAGGTATGTTTCCAATTGGGCTGGAGCACAGCGGGTAGGGCATTTGCCTTGCATGCAGCCAACCCGGGTTCGATTCCTCCATCCCTCCTGAAGAGTCCAACAAGCTACCGAGAGTATCCTGCCTGCACAGCAGAGCCTGGCAAGCTCCCCGTGGCATATTTGATATGCCAAAAACAGTAATAAATTTCACAATGGAGACGTTACTGGTGCCCACTCAAGCAAATCGATGAACAACGAAAGGACAGTGACAGGACAGTGATGTTTACAATTATATAGGATAGCATCAAGGGGTAAAATACTTAGCTACTCCTCTCAGGTTTCTATCACTTATATTCTATTTGTTACCCTGGGCTTAATATTCAGTTTTTAAACACAGTATAGTGAAAGTAAACTCCGAAAATGCAGGAAGTGAGGCTACATGATGAATGATATTTACAAGTAGAAACTTGTAAATAGTAGACTATAAGCCATAGGGATAATGCATGGTATAATGAAATGAATATAGGAAACATTATACTGCATTCATCAAACTTGTACTACATTCATCAAACTTGCTAAGACACTAAACACGAATCAACCTAAGCACTAATTTAAAAAAAAATAAGTTCTATAATAGAGGTGTTAAATAGCTATAACAGTGCTCAATGACATAAGTATACCAAATAAACACTGTACATAAAAGATATTTTAAATATTTTCCATTTTAAAAGTGATTTCTTGAGGGGAAAGACGGGTCAAGTTGCAGGGCACATGTCTAGACCCTGAGTTTGGTCCCCAGTATCATGTGGCCCCAAGCACGGCTGGACAGGAAGCTGCCTGAGTCAGCAATCCCGACCCCACCATTTCTGGGGTGGCCCCTATATGGGTATTTAAAAAAAATTTATTTCCTCTTTTTCCTTTTTTTAAAAAAAAAAACTTATCAAGGGATGGGGAGATTATCTGGATGTCAAGGGCTCAAATCTTGCAAGCAAAGAGATCCTAGCACCATATGACCCCTGAGTACCGTCAGATATGGTCCTGGAAGCCCCCAAATGCCACCAGGTGGGAACATTTCATTATCTACTCTGACTGGCAAAGACTCTCCAGGAATCGTCCCTGGACCCCCAGAGCACAGCTTGGTAGCAGCATCCAAAGGAAAACTTACGAAAGGCAGAGAATATTATCTGCATGTTCTCTACTTGGGAATCTGTTCTCAGGCTAGGCAGAAGAACAGAACCACTGATGACCAGCACTCCTGGCTTGTAGAACACTGCTGTCCCACATTCCCTAAAGCCACAGACTGTCAGACAAGGGAGGAAACTTTGAGGTCATCTTTTCAACCCCAGCCATTCACAGAAGGGATCAATGGGGCCTAGGAATGTTACAAACTGCCAGGGACTATGGACACTTTGACAGGCATGCCTCATTAAAGGGCAGTAACATCAACTGCAGACAATTTAGAAAAAAGTATTTTGGAAATCACTCATCTACCCACCCCTTCATCTTTTTTTTTTTCTTTTTGGGTCACACCCAGCGATGTTCAGAGGTTACTCCTGGTTCTGCACTCAAGAATTACTCCTGGCGGTGCTCAGGGGACCATATGGGATGCTGTGCTGGGAATCAAACCCGGGTCTGCCGCGTGCAAGGCAAACATCCTACCCACTGTGCTACCACTCCAGTCCCCGCCTTCATCATTTCTCAAGGTAATATAAGCACTCAAGATAGAAAGCAGAATAAGGCACAGCTCCTGCCCTAAATAGGTCCACGGTCTCCATCATTATGAGACTAAGAAGTATCCAAGGATTTTGGCAAGGGATGAAAACAGATTTGGTGGGAGGGAAGAGGAGGGTTCAATTGCTGTTGGGTGAGGGAGTCATTCAGAAAGTACCTTCGAGC